TCCATGCAACGCCCGCATTTGAAGATGTTTTCCTAAAGACCGTTGACCCGGATTTGCAGGCAGGTGGGATTCGGTTTCACAGAGTAAAGCATTCCAATAGGAGCTTTTTAATGAATAAAAACTGGGCTATCCACCTTCCCAAAATTGGGATTTTTATATTTGATTAGCACCAAATCCCACATGGGGAGCGGTGAGGTCTGGAATATCAATAGTCAAAATTATATCTTGGGCACAAAATAAAGGGGGCAGTTCAAAAATCCTACATGTAACCTGATCCCCAAGTAGGAGATATTGATTTTTCAGTAACATAACTGTAAATAAATAGTAGCAGTAAACAATCCCAGAAAAAAACAGCAGTACTGGAAGGTGAGATGAATTGGAAATATCGTTTGGAGCGCACGAGTTACAGTTTGTAACGTCCCAAATTCAAAATTTCACACAGTTATGGATTCAGTGTGTGTGGCCTTGGGCCCGTCATTTGCCTAGAAGCTTCAGCCTTGCCATCTGTAGAATGGGGAGAGTACAGGACTGCCTTAAAGAGAGCGCTATAATTTACAGTGTAAGGATTAAAGAGGCAGGACATGCAATCACCTCGGAGGAAAGCGTTACCTAAGCATGGCAATCCTAGTTTGCGAGGGGCACAGATGACGTGGTTATTCAAGGTTCTCACAGGCAATCTCTTCTGTATATTCCTGGCATTCCAAGGAGGTCCCGTGTCTAGGTCGTGACAAATCCGGTACCAATTCGATCCCCTTTTTAACGCATTTGTTTAGGTGGGGGTTTCTGGGATGTGTGTGAAGTTTTGTGTAGCCAATTGGACCAGCCTATTTCTTTTATCATAAAGGTTAAGGTAAAGGGACCCCTGACCATTAGGTCCAGTCGTGGCCGACTCTGGGGTTGCGGTGCTCATCTCACTTTATTGGCCGAGGGAGCCGGTGTACAACTTCTGGGTCATGTGGCCAGCATGACTAAGCTGCTTCTGGCGAACCAGAGCAGCGCACGGAAACGCCGGAGCGGTACCTATTTATCTACTTGCACTTTGACGTGCTTTTGAATTGCTAGGTTGGCAGGAGCTGGGACCAAGCAACGGGAGCTCACCCCGTCAAGGGGATTCGAACCGCCAACCTTCTGATCGACAAGTACTAGGCTCTGTGGTTTAACCCACAGCGCATACACTGCCCCAAATTCTTCTTCTGCCTCGCCTCTTGTCCCAGCTGCTACCTGATTTTGGGAATAAGATCAGATCTTACCCCACACGACACACGCCCACAAAATTGCGCAGGAGCGCGTGCTTAAGGGAGCGCAGAAGAATGAAGCCAATGAAAAGGCTATATATATATATATATATATATATATATATCTCACATTATTTATATATATAACATTACACTGATACGCGTGACCGGAAGGTGGAGCTGCTGATCTAATCTTGCAAGCAAACGCCAAAGCGTCATTTCCCCACCTCCCCACCCCCCGTCGCGAAAAGAGGGAGAAAATCAATGCAATAAACTCCTTTTGATCTGAAGAGCCTCCTTTTCCGGGGAGCGTGAGGGGGGGGGGGGCTGGAGTCAAGGTCAACACCGCCTATGTGCCAGGAGTAACCCGACCTTTGGGGTCAAAGTTAAGGCCTGATTTACTGTGCCTGGGAAGCTGCTCCTCCCTCGGTACTGTTGGAGGTGGCGCATGCCGGCAGACAGAGCGGCTTCCTCAGCCCTTAAGGCACCCAACCCCCACCACGCTGGACCCAATCCTTATCCACTGGACTCATTCTCCTGGTGCGCCACTCCTTCCTCCTCAGTTTCAGCGACTGAGAGGGGGGAAAGGGAGGGGTTGCTAGCACATCCTCACTGCAGACAGCAGAACACAATTTCTTTCCAGGGAAACCTACAAGAAGGTTGGGGGGGGGAGGGAGGACGAGCCCCGCCCCTCCCTCCAGCAACCACAATACAGTACATGCTGACAGTAGATGCAACTGAATATTGTCTCCGAAATCGAAATCACACGCCAGGCAGATTGAGGTTGTCTTGCGGGGGGCGGGGAGATCTCTCTTTCAAAAAAAGGCATGCATTTTTTTGAAATATATATTTCATTTTTTTAATATATATATATAAAATCATCAGCTTGTCTCATTGCGGTCTTACCAAAGAGAGAAAGAGCAGTTCATCCTTGAACTTGGCCTTCCATTTACTCATGCGCACTGATAATGAACTTCTCATTAAATGTTCTGTATTTAAATCCCAGGTCCTTCTGAGATAGAACAACGCAAAGGATCTGACACGATCAAGCACTGGCAGAGCAAGTTGTGAGATGTAAGAGGCGAGGAATACATATATATTGGGGGGTGGGGGGCTTAAAATGAAAGTATGAAGCTTTGTTTGAGGTTTACGACCCAGTTCGACTCAAGGGAGGTACCGAGGGGGGAGGGGATTCAGGAATGTCACCAACACTTGTGACGGAACAGAGCGAAATAAACACTGAAACAATCCCCACCCCTCAGAATCTTCTCACCTTAGAATCAGGTGAGTTGGCTACTTGAAAAATACCTTTTTTCCACTGTCTTTTTTTTTTCCGCATTCAATTCTTTTATTTCTGTTATTTATTATTACGTTTATTAATGTTTGGTCCTGTGGTGTCAGATAATGAGCACTGCTTATGCAATCTCTGTGGCATTTAGAATAAATTATATACATGCGTCTAGAAGTACAAATAATAACACTAATAATAATAAACAGACAACTGATGAACATAAGACACTCTCCTACACTATGAGCAAGCTGCATTGAAATCAGTGGGTGGTTACTTCTAAGCACCAGAATCAGATTGTGGGGGCTTGAACAGTACCAAAATCATGCTGAAACAACCCATGTTCTGCAAAAGAATTTCCTTTGATTAAGAATACCCCCCCCCCAAGTAAGGCACATTGATTTCAGTGGAAGTTGCTTCAAAATATTAGTAAAAGTTGCAGTCCTAAACACACAGTTACTTGGAAGTAAGTCCCACTGATCTCAAAGTGGTTTACTTCTGCGTAGACTCTGATACGATTGCACGGTTAGTACAGGATGTAAACGAAGTGTAGGCCTGGCTGTATTTTCTTCGATTTCGAAAACCTCCCTCTCTCTTCTCCTCTAGAGAATCAGAGATTCTGAACTAGTCTCATCACAACGCCCTGGATAAATAATTTCTTTAAGGACCTACAGTCACTGCACTATTAGTATTGACTAAACCAGGGGTAGCCAATGTAGTGGCCTTCAAATGCTGCTGGACTACAACTCCCATGATCCCTGGCTATAGGCTGTACTGCCTGAGGCTGATGGGAGTCCGAGTCCAACAGCATGGAGAGGGCACCCTGTTGGCTACCCTCGTGCTATGCACTGGCACTAGGAGAAGCGTCTGCTTCCGGGTCCTCCTCTCACCGCCCCCTCCCACGCACAAACTCCCCTTTAAATACCCAGATTTTAAACCAATTCATCTAGAGAACTAGCTCCCAATTTTATGTAGCTAAGGAGCAGGACGTCAATAATAGTAGGCAACATCCAAAACAATTTACAACGTTATAATTTACCCATCCATATTTACTTTCCAACAAGATTCGCTGGATTCAAAACGATTTGCCCCGTTCTGAGTGCGCATATATGGTTTCAGTCCTTTATGTTCCATTGTATTTTATACAGACAAGCAAAATAGGCCTCCACGCTTTAGCGGATGGAGCAGGTTTTTAATCCGTGGGACTGGGCTTGAAGGGAAGTCCTTTTTCTGGAGTGGTAAATAGGGAATGAAAAATAAAACATTTAAAGTTGACTTCACCTTGCAACTATCTGTTTGCTGTATTGTAAATTCTCTAGCGTATCGTTCAGTGTCTTCCAAGGCACTTATTAACTTTTGGTAGTACTCAAATTCATTTAAATGCAATCGATAAAGGGATCATTGTCATATGATTAATCAACTCCCCCCCCCCCAAAAAAAAATCGTCAATCGGTGGTTAGCCTATATACACATACATACATATACGTATACATACAAGCCATTCTAAAATATTTATTTCGTCATATGCAATGCTGAGATTTTAATAAAGATTATAACCTCTCAAATTTACAAGTCCCCTAAAACATAGATTATGTTGTATGTATGTATGTGTAATAGATTTTCTTCGTGGTAAAAATTCCTATCAATATTTCACACAGATGAAAGAACAGTCTGTTCCTTCGCTTCTGCAAAATGTTCCCATTCGACGAACAGACAAACGGAACCGAAAGCAAGCCGAGCCATCGTGGTGCTTATGGAGAATTTATTTAACATTCGGTTCGATTGATAGGCAGTTGTCGTTTTCTTGGTTTTATTTTCGTCTCCCCCCCCCCCCAAAGCAGCTCTGAATTATGGAACTTGGTACAAAGAAAAATAGAATATAATTCGCATAGCAATGGCGCTAAGGCGGCAACGCCCCTCCCCCCGAAAGAAAAAAAAACACATAAAAATGAATTGCAAATTGCACACGGCTTCCTTCTCCCCTTCCCAGCTCCCCCCCCCCATAATAAAATAATAAAAACAATAACAACAACGCATCGCTTAAAAATAAAATAGAAAACACCGTTTGCTTTGCAAATCGGGTTTTAACTTATTGGAGGAAACAGCAATAACAATAACAACGACGATAATTAACTTTTTTTTTTTTAAGGAGAGAGGCTAGGAGAAGCCGCCAGCCACGCCAGCGCTAAGCGAATTTCGTGGGCTTTCACCGAGGTGGAGACGGGAGACGGTGGGAGGCTGGAGAGCGGAGAAGCCATTGAAGCGTCCACGTGCGTAATTCTGCTCTCGTTTCCTCCTCCCTTCTCCTCCTCCTCCTCCGCCCGCGGCCTCCTTCCCCCCACCATCTCCTGTTCCCGCAAGGCTTTGGGGAGGCAGCAGAGAAGCCTGCGTTAATTTCCCCCTCCCTTCCTCGCGGGGGGAGCTTCTTTCCCGCCGCCTTTCCATGGATTCCTCCTCCGAGAGTCTGTCCCTCCGTCTCACGGGGTGCTGCTGGCGCTGCCGGGGCCGCTGCTGTTGGTGGTAGCAGGCGCGGGCGCGGGCGCACTGGTGCCTTTGACCTTGGCCACGACCTTCTTCTCTTTGACCCTGCGGTTCTGGAACCAAATGGTGATCTGTCTCTCGGTGAGGTTGGTGGCGGCGGAGATCTTTCTCCTCTTGTCCTTGGTGATGAACTTGCTGTTGGAGTATTCCTTCTCCAGCTCTTTCAGCTGCCCTTTGCTGTAAGGGATCCTCTTCTTGCGCCCCCGGCGGAAGGTACACCCCTCCGGAGGGTGCTGGCCTACAGCTTCTGACCGGCAGAAGGGAGGAAAGGAAGAAAAGAGGAGAGCGCGTTAAACTCAGACGAGAGTTAGGAAGGAAGGCCTGCCCTGGGGAATGAAACTCATAACCACCACCGCCCAGTCCTTTGTCTAGGAAATCCCCCAAGGCCACAGCCGAGCGAAATGGACTCTTCTAAAAACCGCTGGACTTTTTCTTGGCCCCTAAACTCACAAGTTAAGACTCTGCAGAATATTATCCGTTTCATTTCATTCTCTCTTGGTTATCTTTCACCACCTCATTTCCCCCCTGCCCTATTTATTCTCACATGCATTGAATTTGTCCCCGAAACACAGATCTGCCGCCATAATGCCTTTTTCTTTTTTCCGGCCTCTGTCTGATGCCGGTGAGGCCGTTTCTCTGCTTTGCGAGAGTACAACCCCATTTTAGAGAAGTTTGCTTTGCGCGTAAAATCCCACTGAAATCATGGCGCGATAAATGTGGAGGTTGTGCGTAAAAACAAAACACCCAATTCGACCAAATGTGGGCTGTCAAATACAGACGTGGGAAAATTTAGAAATCGATATTTTTCTACCTAACTGATCTGCCTGGCAACAATTCCTTTCACTTGCTTCCAACCCATTTTAACCAACGGGAGTTAGAAGCAAAGTGTGCCACATATTTTCCTGTAGGTATTTAATTTATTATAAAGAGTAATAGTGCAGGGCTTAAAATTGCAAATTAGTCTGGATTAAAATATCTTTGTTGGGGGTTCAGATCAGCTGAGCAACTTTTACACTGGTTGTAAATAATTTGATGCAAAACCCTATTGATTTCAATGGAACTGATTTCCAAATATATATTTTTTAGGAAAGGGGGTTGTGTTAGGAAATTATTCAGGACAAGGTTTTGATTACTCACATATGTTTTAGCAACCATCTTCACATTCACAAGATTTAGTTAGACACACACACACACCTGTATATTAATAAATTATTGTCAGTGTTTCATTTCTATGTAATCATTAACACCAAACAGACCGCTAGCCTTCCTGTGTGTGTCACTGGAGTTTGGACATGGCTGTAAGTGAAGACTATAGTAATGAACAGTGCTCACAGAAAATAATACTGTGTTTTGGTACTTTGTATGAATATAACCTGCAGAACTGAATAGTACGAGGAAATACTCCTCTTATAGTTACTTGCTGTTGCATGTTACTGGTATCTGATGGAAAAAGCCAGATGCTGTTTTGGGACCTGCAGTGTTACCTAAATAAAGTGAGTGCTGAAATAATTTTAGTAGATAGGAGCATACAATTTCATAATGTGTGGAATTTTTAAAAAATGTAATAAAGCTTTTTAACAAAGGGGATTGCTGTGTTCTTACAGACTGTGTTTTGAGGAATTGTTGGGTTATGATGCCAGCAAGCAAGATGCTTTCTTGAAATTTCAAGACTGAGCTAGAACTTTTACTTCCAAAAATAAGTAAAAATGGGGAAAGAGAAACAAAAGATCTGGCTGAGTTATTTATTAATTTTATCGCGTGCTGCTTTTTTTTTTTTTAAAAAAAGCTTGTTACCCAACACTTAAGCATCTTTGTGGTGTATCTTTATGAAACAACAGTCAAACTGTTTGGGTGGTCAGTGTATGGCCACATAGATCTGAAAATTAATGTGAAATGATTTCATCCGGGATCTACGCTGCATTGAAATATCCTGGGTGGGACGTCAGTTAACGTAAATTATAGCCATCATCTGCACTCCAGATCCTCAGTTGAGTCTTATGATCTTTGGCACATTTTACTAAATGAGTTTTTAAAAACATGGACATGATGCAGCCAAGGGTAGATATTTTTAATTCCCATTGCATCTTCAATGAAAGAGATGTATGCACATGCTTAAATCTACCACTGGAAGCCATAGATTTATAAGTGCTTAACTTCAAATGTGCCCATTAATATTTTGAAAAAATCCTTTACTAAATCTTTGAGACAGAGGTTTTTGCTTGTGTGTCCTGTCTGTCTGGAGTAATTATTTCCTGCCTAGACACCAATAAATAATGCTAGATGCTGGTGGTGGATAACCTTACACAGCGTTATACATTACTGAAATATTTATATTCCTTGGGGGCTATACTGCCACAGCAATACAATGCTGAGGTGATCGAAGGCAGCACACCTTATTGCAGTATAAACGCTGTTGTTGTTACGTAATTTGAATAGCTATGAATTTATTTCATTGCCCACTGTTCACTGTGCAGTCAGCTGTAACTAACAGCAATTGCATAACTGAGTAAAAACATTAGAGCAAACCCAATGGAAATTTCTCCTGCCCATTCCCCATTCAGGTGCGTGGAAGGACTCAAGCAGGTCCCATTCATTTGAGTGGGGTTGCATGCAAAAAAAAAAAAAAAAGGTATAAAATTATATGTGTGTGTATATAATAAGTATGTATACACACACATTAAATGTGTGTGTGTACATACATACACTAAATATTAAATAAGTATGTACACACGCACTTATTTAATATAATTATATACCACCTTTCATCTTACAATCTCAATGTGGGTTACAGATCAGTTACAATGCAAGCAACCTAAGAAATAGGCAGAGAAGATAAAACATGCCTAAAATCAGCTGTAGATCAATCATAAAAACATCTCAGGGAGCCAACACAACTCAATAGAACAACAGAGGCTACTGCTAGCAACTCAAAAAAGCCCAGGTAAGCAGGTAGGTCTTAACCTGGTGCAGAAATGTCAATGTCAGGCATATTTGCTGGAGGAGGATATTCCATAACTTCCTGCTATTGCACCTTTAATTTTTGTTGTTGTGCTGGCGGCCTTAAAGACATGAGACGTGAAATACTGAATCACCATAATGGATAATGTAGGGTTTCACACGAGCAATTCTGAAACAAAATTGCATTGGTATTTGCTGGGAGCACAGAGCACTGTGAAATTGCTACTACACCTAAAACATTGGGATACACTGGATTGGGGCCTACAGCACCACAATGGTTACACTGATGCAGAGTTTTAAAAGTTATTTGCTCGTAAATATAAGGTCATCATAGAATGCGCTTGTCATATTTATTTATTTTCCTACAGGAATCTTCTTCTCTTGTCTCATATTAAATTTTATTGCTCTAATATTATTTCAGAATCTTGTAAACAGCTTTGGGAGGTTGTGCATCAGAAAGGTGGCATATTTAAAAAAGGAAAAGGAAAAAAGAAAGGTGGCATATAAATGCTTTATATAATAAATTTGCTTCCCTGCTTTTAAGATTTTTGCACCTTTTGGCGGAATTGTATAAAAGTAAATACAGTAATTGTTGCTGCTGCAGCAAAGCTAATATTATGTTGTGGCTTGGAAGATGTGTCTGTTAATTAATGAGGAGATTGTCAGTCTACAACTACATTCACAGAAAGTATTATGGACACTCATTTTGAGGTAAATATACAGATTTACCATGCTCTGTGGTTCAGTTTTAAGAAGTTTCAGAATGATGAGTGTTAGGGGCAGGATTCCCCCCCCCCCCACAGTAATTCACTATTTGTGGAATTATCTCCCCACTTCCCCCCCCCCACATTAGGAAGTATATGTGGCCCCATTGCTGGCAGTTTTTAAGAGAAATTTTAATACATTTTAATTTCTATTTCATTAATGGTTGCAATACATTTTACACCAATTTCAAAGATGTGATGTGATTTTTAATTTAATGGGATAATATACCACTACGTTTTGTGGATGAATTTTTGTACACTGCCTTGTGAGGGCAATGTGCCCTGAAAGATGATTTAGAAATAATTTAGGAAAATTGATAAACAAGCAATATTTCTGCACTGAGTTTGTATTTTGTGTTAACGCTTAGCGGTGTAAGTGTGGATCAGTGTAATTTTGTTATTAATAAGCAGAGAAGCAGATGAATGATCTTCTCTTTGCCCCTAGGAAAAGTTTAGCAGTGATTCTAAACAAACTCAAGTGGAAAGATGTCCCATGGAAATTAAATGAGATTTCTTTCAAGTAAATGCAAAAGTGGACCAGAAGTCAGGTCATTAGTCATAGGTAGGGATTGGGTCCCCGGTAATTGACTGAAAACATTTAATTGACTAAATATTTGTTGTTGCACTGCAAGAGGATTAAAACCTCAAGCTTGGGCTAGTGTAAATATATATTGGTATGCTTTGTGGAAGAAGCTTAGTTGGTGCTGGAGTACGCAAGGCCTGGGGTTTTGCATAATTCTTCTGCTTGATGAAAAGTTCTGCACAACCTCAAACCTTACACACTTAGCTCCCAACTTAATTTGTTGTTGTTGTTATAGACTTGGGAGATTTGTTTTCAGGAAAGCCACTTAACTATGACTGACTCAACAGGTCTGTCACTTCTGTTAAGACATCTCACATCTGATAGTCCACCAGCTACTCATTAGATGTGCAACTGAAGGCACACTTACCCCCTGAGAATTCCTGCAGAATTTAATAGGGCTTGAGCCAGAATGAATGGTTTGGTCGGTTGCAGTCACACACTGCAATGGCCGCAGGTCTGTGCTTAAAGCAGGGGAAGATTCTACGACCCCTTGTGGCAGAGTCATATTAAGCACCAGTTAGGTGAGTGGTCACTGGAAGGCCACACAGAGACTGAAGGGAATGTAGTAGCTGAAAGGAAGTACCAGTAGTAATCTAGTCCATCCTTCTTGCATCCAGATGGCTCTCCCATCCGCAAAAAAAACCCCTGTCTGTGCATGATATATTTAAGGCAATAACCCCTCTGCCTAGGCCCCCCACAGTTACCTATGTTGTTGTGGATGCAACATGTCCCTGCCATAATCCTTTCTTTAGGACTAGTCTGTCTCAAGGACTTGTCTCCTCTTTCTCCATTCCATCTAGCAGGGTCTCCAGACCAGTAAAGCAGAAATACTGAGGTTAGCCTGCCTTCCTTAACACACTGGTTGGTAGATAGCGAAGCTTCGTTTGTTTTCTTAGAGTCAATTTGCTCTAGACTGACATTAGACTTCCAGCGGAAATAAATGGTTCTATGTCTCAATTCTACAATCAGTGTCCCACTGATACATTGGGGCGCATGGCAGGAATAGCAATAATCTCCAGCCTTACCATTGCCTATAATTTTCTGCATCTGCCCTAAGGCACTTGGAACCAATCTGGCCGTGCACAATGTTACGGGGGCGGGGAGTATTTCTGTTTCTAATGGATGCGATGGATCAGGGTTTTTTTTATAAAAACAAAGGAACAGCAGCTGAAAATGCAGACACAGAAAGCTGGATGGGTAGGAAAACTAAGATAGAGTATTACGCACCTGTAGCAATGCCAATATATTGCAGTTCCATTGTAGAGACTGATCTGATTTAATGAGGCAAAATGTGATAGCAATATTGATAGCATGGCAGGTGCTGGAGACGGAGGGTGCTCAAACACAGAGGCCCTCGCCCTAATTCTGGTTTGTGATTGGGGCTGACTGGGGACTAATCAGCGATGAGGGAAGGGCACTCCACACATGCTCAGAGACATTTATGATTACACTACCCATGTGGTTTTTTAACATTATGATTACATTATGCCTGCTCCACCATTGGAGAGCTGGTTCATATTTAATTCTAGCTATTATCCGAAGGATCCAGGGTATGTTAGAAAAAAGCTCTAACCCGCCAGGTCATATTGGGTGTTGAAAAATAACCAGTAGGTGAGATTTCACAGCCTTTCTGAGCAGCATTTTTCATACGTAAACTAAAGCAGCAGCAACTAAGAGGATAGAGACGCGCACACAAAGGGCATACATAGTTGTCTAACCTCATATATATTTTGTAATAATATTTCAGGTGACCCTGAGAGCAATTCATACAGCAGTGAAATTAGCCACCCTGCTGGTGCATATTTGACGCCTATATCTCCGCGTGCAGCGCGTAGGGTGTAAAAATCTGCTGCTGATTTCATTGCAATATGAACTGATTGGAATTACACACACTCACGCACACAATTCTCTCATATATATCTCTTAGAAGCTGATGAGGCCACATTAATTTATCATACAACTGGGGGATATTAGGCTGGTTGTATTATATTGTATCGTATCTTATTATAGCGTGGGTGGGTGTGATATCTAAACACCTACACACATGCAACGCAGGTATCCCAAGAACTAAGCTAATATAGGGACCGGCGCCAGAATAGATGGTGAATATTTGAGAATAAAGATGGTTTGGAGCATCTGCAAAGTTTCCAACCAGGACTACCCGCAGTCACTACAAGCACACACACAAACACACGTCTAGGTTGAAAAGCAGACAGGATGGAGGCCCCAGCTCTTTTCCTTTTGGGGATCAAGCGCTCCCTGAGGTCTAGTCTACCCAGCTCCCTGGAAAACCACGAAATCCACCCCGAGGATCTGGCGGCCTTGTAGGGCAGCGGCGGTGACAGGGCTGGGGAGAAGGGAGAAGAGAAAGAGGCGGCCGTTTCTTTCTTTCGTTCGTTCTTTCTTTTTTTTAAAAAAAAGGCATTGGTTACCTGCGAAAGCAGTTTTCCAAAAGTGTCCTGCTGGGCTTTGATCTTTTGGACAACACATTTGGTTGTTCCATCCCCCGGCCAAGGCCCAGGGTTCGTGGTAAGGGTCCACGGGCAGGAGCGCTTCGTGCCTGGCGTCGCCAGGAGGCCCTCCGATGGTCTGCACTACCGAAACGTCCAGGTAGCTCGCCATCGGCTGGTAAGGCCCCGCCGCGTAACCCGGGTAGAAGGCGAACTCGGCTGGGCGCGTCTGGTACTCCTCGGGAGCCGCGGCGGCGGGCGCCGAGCTGCAGGCGTCCAGGTACTTCTCCGCTGCCGTCGGGTAGCCGGGCTGAGGCGGCGCGGGGCACGGCTTGAGGGAACCGCGGGCCACTCGGTAGGAGCAGTAGGCACCGCCGAAATATCCGCAGGAGAAGGGCGAGGCGCTGGTCGTCGAGGATGCCTGCGGGATGGCCGGGCACGGAATGCATTGCTTTGTCGACGCGTCTCCGGGGCCGGAGGAAGGAGGGCCGTCCAGGGCCGGAGCGGGGTAAGCGGAGCCGTGCATCGTCGGGCTGAGGCCGCCCAGGGTCACGTTCCTGCAGTGGCCGCCGCCCGGGAAGGCCGTCGGCGAGCTCAGCAAGCTGTCCATGCTCTTGGCGGGCACCTCATCCAGGCTCCTCCGGGCTTCTCCGAAGGCGGCGTCGGGGTCCATCCAGCAGAGAGCGCGGCGGGAAGGCGCATGGGCGCCCGCGCTTGCTCCGCTCCGCTCTCGGTCGGGGTAACCAGATGGCGCGCGGCTTGGACGACTGGGGGGCGGGCGAGGCGGCGAGGATCGTTTTAAAAGGCTGGCGACTGCCAAAGGAGGGTCGCCTAGGCGCCCGGCGTCAGCTTCTCTCCCTGCACCCCCACCCCACCCCCTCTTCCCTCCCTCCCCCGACGCAAAGGAGGCGTCTTTCCCGGAGTGGCGCTCTCATTGGCTGAGGCGCATCCACTGGAGACGTGCTGGGGAGGAGGGGGCCAGACAAAAATTGCGAAAATGCTTTTATGGCAAGACAGGGAGAGGGAAGGAAGGGTGAGGGGAGAGGAGAGGGAGAGAGACCTGCACACGTGACGGACTTCTGTACAGGAAGGGGGTGGTGACATTTATTTATTTATTTATTTATTTATTTATTTATTTATTTATTTATTTATTTATTTATTTATTTCCCTCCAAGATTACCGCCCCCCTCCCCACATACCAGCGTCTCTTTCCCTGCTCCACACGGAATGGACACAATTGAATGGAAAGAGAAACATTGGCTGATCTAGGAGGAATAGTCTGCAGTGCTATAGTGTTTAGAACTTGGAATAAGAAAGAAAGAAAGAAAGAAAGACCGTGGGTATATCACCAGAAAACCATTAATTCAATTAAGATCCATCTGAGATAAATGGGAAATGTATCCTGTCTGTCTGAAACTTTCTGATTTCCTCGAAATTCTTTGGCGAAGTGTCCGAACTATCCCCAGAATGCTTCGTCAGTGTTTTATGCGCTGGTATCCCTTCCCATCCTTGCAAGAACGTGCTTCTGAATCCAAGGTTTGGGGTGGCTGACATATTTTTTTCGAAGCATTTTTTTTTTTAAAATACACACATCTCACAGACTGCATTGCGAGAGAGAGAGAGCAGCTGCAAGCTAAAGGACTGGGTAGAAAACGCATGTGCAAGGCTAAAGTGTCCCCCTTTCCTCAGATATCTGCAGAAATCATGTTCGGAGATACTGCGCTTGGTCAGACGCACCAGGCCTTTCCTCTTCGCACTAGATGCTGGGAGGGAAGTGAGCCCACCAACTCAGCCTCCGCGGGCAACTCTGCCCTTCCGAAATGACATTTCCCAAATCTTCATACCTTAAGCGGTTTGAGAAAGGTGAACCGAATAATGCCGCGCTCCAAAAGTGAGACCCTGATGTCTTATTAGACGGAATATACTGTACTAGATGGTACGTGCACGTGTGCGCGAGAGACAGGAGACGGAACCCCGCATTCTCCCCATGAATATGACTACCTGGAAGCTGAGTGTGTTACGTGGTGCTCGGCTGACAGCCTGTGTTCTGCTGCAATACATAAACCTGACTTTCTAAAGTAAATCAGGGTAAAGATGTACGTTTATACAACCACAAGCACCCATCAGCGTCAGTCTGCCTCCCCACTCATCTCTTTTTGGCCTTGAAAGTGCGCCTCCCGCCCCAAATACTTTCTCCCCCCCCCCCCCCGCATGAAGTCTGTTAGAATTATATCCCCCTTTCTAAAGGCATCTCCTTCTCGCAACACTCATCGTCACGGTCAAGGCGCCAAAACTATTGCAGCGCAGGAGTTTCCACCTCTAATTTTTGTCTTGGCAAAGTGAAATCGTAGTGAGCCAGGAAGAAAAAAAATGCCTTCTTTATCCACGAGGAACTCCACTGCCTCTTTTTCATTAAGGGGAGTGGGACGTTTAAAATGCACATATAACGATTTAAATATAGATTCATTATATCTCTCCCTTTTCCTCTCTCGGAGGAGAATGAAGTGTAAATGTATAAAAGGGAAGGGAAAAATAAAACAGGATCTCTGCATACACACAACACACCAAGGCCTTAGTTTTATTCCAGTTTATTCCAGTTTTCAAACTCTTGTTGTTCATCCAAGGCCAGGAAAATGCTCTGTGTATCTTGCTGCTGGTATAAGGTTTTGTCTGGTTGTGAATGAAGTCAGAGAGGTGGGCCTACAGGGTGGCAAAGGCCTAAGTTCAAATGTTTCCTCATCCATGGGTTCAGATGGTGATCTTGAGCAAAGCCACCATTGTACCTCCTCTGTAAAACAGAAATTATGAGAGCAGCAAGCTCTGTTTGGTAAGTTTGTTGAGAGAATTAAAAGCACAGAGAGCCAGAGTTCTCCCTCACACCCCACCAGGGCCTTTAAGGTGGTATAGGGCTACACAACCTAGATGAAGCAAAAAGAAATCAATAATAATGCCAGGCGCCACGTTGAGAAAGTGATGCCTTTTGACTGTACTTTAAATCCCACTGGAAACCTACAGCATTTAAATGCACAGAAATTTGAAAACTCCAGTAAAGAGATTAGTCTGGGTTAGAGAGAGGCAGAGGCAAGCCTTGCTTTAAACTGAGAGCCCCTGTTGCTTTTGTGTCTTCTTGGTAGATGGAATCTTTGAAGCTTCTAATTTAAAATCATATGTTGAAGAGGAAAGAAAGGAGCAGTGTCTTTTTGTGCCTTGTTCAGTCCTTAAGTCTGGGCATCACTGATTCTTAATTGCCGCTAAAACTTTAGTTGATTCATCTGCCTGTTCTAAATGGGTTAAATTCCACTGCAAGGAAAGAAAGAAGGAAAGAAAGAAAGAAAGAAAGAAAGAAAGAAAGAAAGAAAGAAAGAAAGAAAGAAAGAGTTTTTCTACATACATGGAAAAGTGGGAAAACTATTATGGACTCTGTATCTGGTTATCCAGTGAGTGACCTTAAGACCAATCACTATCTCTCATTTTCAGTTCCTCCCTGTTAATGTGAAATAACTGTGACCTACTTCACAGAACTGTTATGAAGATGAATTAAGTTAAGGCATATGCCTCAGTACTATCCCTCCCCTCCCCTCAAATAAATAACAAACTAGATCATCTGCAGGAAACAAATTTCAAATTAAATTTTGAAAGAAAAAACATTTGTGCTTCCTATTTATTGTATTGGGGGCAACTTGACAGAGCTCCTTACGGACCGGGATTTGACTCGGACAGAATGAATTGGCATTCATGGGGTGTGTGCTGTGAAGTTACATGTATTCCTTTGCTTCCAAGCCACACCGAGGGCCACCAGGTTGGCTGCAAATAGACCTAGAAATGTAACTAATTAATACTGAGTAAAGGGACAGAACTGAATGCTAATGTTCCCTGGAGGCCTTGCAGGGTTGCAAAATGCGCAATAGGCAATATTGCTGATAGTGGCAGTGCTAGAGTATTTTTATTAGTAGATCCAAACTACAGTTCCTTGCTTTGCTGGGTCTGGTGCCGTAATTAGAAATCCAGGCTATTTCTCTTCTTTAGAAGCAAATTCCACTGAAACCAAGGAGACATACCATCCGAATTAACGCGCTGAAACCAAGGAGACATACCATCCGAATTAACGCGTTTAGGATTAAAGGGTAGTTTCTGATAACTCACAAGGTGGAGCTCCCAGGAAGTATCTTCACAGGGGTAGTTGTGCTAGTCTGTTGCAGCCAAAACAACAAAGAAACGCCTTGGATGCTAACAGGTTTATTATTATGGGATATAAGCATTCCTGGACTGGTGAAATACGGATTTCATTCGTGACCAAGTGCTTACGCATGTACAGTATAAATTTGCTAGTCTTGAAAGTGCTGCAGGAGTCTCGGTTGGTTTTACCATGGAAAGTATGTCATTAATTTCAAACCATACTGAATAGGATAACCGGAAGCCACTTTATATCGACTCAGATTATATACTGGCTGGCAACAGCCTCTCCAGAGTTTCACAGAAGAGGCCTTTCCTCGCCCTGCTCGGAGATGTCAGGATGTGAAGTCGGGGCTGTTTTCTGCAGTGAAAGTGTAGGTGTGGCACGAGCTCAGCCCTTTCCCAGTTTTGCTCAATATTGTAATTTATGCTGATGTACCAGAATACTAAATTTTGCTAATAAATTAAATATACATCCCACATACATTTCAGTTGTAAGATAGATAGATAATCTATCTGGCAGGCAGGCAGACAGACAGACGTGCTTCTGTTTCTGAAGACATGGAGAGATGTCATCACCACTAGTTTTAATTTCAGGTGGGTCCTTTGATTGCAATAATATACCCTATTAGTTATTTCCAGAGGAATAGTTTTATTTGTTAAGGGTTTTGCAGCAAAAACACACGCCCAACACAGAGTTTTATGGAACCTTGAATAAATTTATTATGACACAATCTTTCATGGTCTGCGGTCCATTTCATAGGATATTCTGATTAGTTATGTAGCTCTTTGGAGCTCATCATTTTTCACGGTCTCTTGACGGGTTATATTGCATAAAGGCAATGCTCTCTAACCAGTACTGACGTGCGCTTGCTTGGATCATGGTCAGTAAAGTAGAGTCATAGAACTGTAGAGCTGGAAGGGACCCCAAGGGTCATGTAGTCCAACCCTCTGCGATGCAACTAGTTGCCCTCCCGCGCCCACACCCTTCTCAGCAAAGGCCCCATGCAGCACATTCCATCCCATGATTGGGGATCGAGCCTGACCAGTCTTTGGCAGCGATTGATTCTCCTCGAGTTTGCTTCCCACCACCTGAATTGCAATAAATTATTAACCCCGTCCTAGGTTCATTTTGACAGGGGGGGGGAAAGCTAGTTATTCCTCCTAATAAAGAGTATCCATCGCTGATGACGTGATAATATCACCAGGGAGAGTTTGTGTGGGACAGGAAAAGCGAACCGAGCCATTCTAGACCTGTTCTGCTCACATGTAAGTCCTATCGAGTTCAATGGCGCTTCTGCCACGTAAGTAGGTACAGGATTTGTAGCCTGAATAAACGACAGGTTTATCCATAGAGAGGTTATGTATCTGGGATGTAGCGTCTGATCTTGCTTGGGCTGAATAACACGTGTTGCTGAACGCATAAGGAGGCCGTTCTGGTTCCTCTGCAAACCCTTTCACGCGACCAAGGCATTGCAAGAATGAGCTTTCACCTTATCTGAAGAGCTTCTGCACTAGAGGATGGTAAATGCGAACCTGGTCCTCCATACTTAACAATGAACTCGTTTTGTGTCCTGGGACAGGACACACGCCTAATGCTCCCATTTTGCGGGTGGGAGAGGACTTGTAGGGCTGAGATCCGGGCAGGGCTTGATCTGCGCCAGAGCCCAGTCTTGGCACCTGTTATTAAACGACAGGGGCTCTACCCTGGACAAGGGAAGTAAGAACATCCCCCCAAAAACTGCAGAGTGCATTTCTCTGGCCACTCAGTAACTGTGGAAAGTCACACGCACAAACACACGCACCAGGCAGTAAAGGAAAAAGCGGAGGTTTTTTCACACAGACTTGATTCCCGGCATCTCTCTTCCTATAAATTACTGTCCTAGAAACAGTTGCTGGGTGGACGTTTGCTCCTGCGTCCTGTCTGGACTTGAAAATCTGAGCCTCTCCATCTTTTGATTGAGTAAAACGGAACAAGCGCTAAACTCACAGAATGTACTCAGAGCGTTCTCAGGAGAGAATGCAACAACATAGCGGATACGATTCCGCAGGGCGGCAACTTATTTGTTGTTGTTGTTGCTTAGTTGTTTAGTCTTGTCCGACTCTTCGTGACCCCATGGACCAGAGCACGGCAGGCACTCCTGTCTTCCACTGCCTCCCGCAGTTTGGTCAAACTCATGCTGGTAGCTTCGAGAACACTATCCAACCATCTCGCCCTCTGTAGTCCCCTTCTCCTTGTGCCTACTGTATTTGTACATTAGATTTAATCTCCAGAGAAATTGCGCGATTGGCCCGGAAACTGGAAGCTTGCCCCTGTTGTCATTTGCTTGCACTTCTCTATATAGAACCCTTGTTTCCCTCTCTATTCGGAATGGGTGATCGAACAAGTATATTATCGTGGAATCTTATGGCATCTTCATTTATCCGAACCGCTTCTGGAATAATTGCTTACTTTTGAACAATTCAAGGTTGAGCGCCTCACGGTTTCTCTTTCTCTCTGAGCATGTGTGTAAAAGAGAAAGCGAGAGGTGAATAAATTTTAAAGGCCTTCAGTGGTTCTCAAGTATGAACCAGTACTTTAAACTTGAAGAAGCTAACTTTTTTGAGACACACATGTGAAGACAGATATGTATATGCGCACGAAGACTCTGAGGAGCAGTACCGAAACTTCTGAAGGCTTCTGAATTTCCAAAAGCCTTTGGTAAGGCTCTGAGCGAACCTTACTCCACTAAGGTGTGCCGCGTTGTATGGAGTGTGTAAGCAGGGGTGACAACTTTAATATAATATTTGGGGGGGGGAGGTAGGTAAACCCCACCTCGCATAATTAATCCCAAGACACGCGTGCAAACACAATTTGAATGGCAATGCCCATCAACTGGGGCTTTATGGGGGGGGGGTAAGGGCCCTCGGACCCTCGGAGTTGGCTCCTATCTGGTAACGAGTAACGAGGCAGTTACTGAGAGCCAGTGCGGCGCAAGTGGAGAAGTTTGTCGGACTCGGACCTGGGAGACCAGGGTTCGAATCCCCACTCAGCCATGAAACTCCATGGATGACCTTGGGCCAGTCACTGCCTGCCTTTCAGCCCAGCCTACTTCACAGGGCTGATGAAGGGGTTAATGAGAAGGGGGACAGAAACATGCGCGCCACCTTGAGCTCCTTGGAGAGAAGGGTGGGATACACTTGCAATGAATAAAAAAATAAAAAATGAACATTGTGTCGTATTACCTAGTGTAGGTGGCGACTCCGTGAGCACCCGTGTCAGACTCACCAGGTAACCCTTCTCACCAAGCACTTTTGTATCTCCCTAGCTGGAACTGTATAGTTAAAGCCATGGTTTTCCCAGTAGTGATGTATGGAAGTGAGAGCTGGACCATAAAGAAGGCTGATGCCGAAGAATTGATGCTTTTGAATTATGGTGCTGGAGGAGACTCTTGAGAGTCCCATGGACTGCAAGAAGATCAAACCTTTCCATTCTTAAGGAAATCAGCCCTGAGTGCTCACTGGAAGGACAGATCCTGAAGCTGAGGCTCCAGTACTTTGGCCACCTCATGAGAAGACTCCCTGGAAAAGACCCTGATGCTGGGAAAGATGGAGGGCGCAAGGAGAAGGGGACGACAGAGGACGAGATGGTTGGACAGTGTTCTGGAAGCTACCAGCATGAGTTTGACCAAACTGCGGGAGGCAGTTGGAAGACAGGAGTGCCTGGCATGCTCTGGTCCATGGGGTCACGAGTCGGACACGACTAAGCGACTAAACAACAGCAAGCTGGAACTGAAGTGGCCGAACAGAGGTAAGGCGCGGGTGGAGGGAAGACTTCACGCCTAACCAACGTAACCCCCCCACACACTTTTGCTGTCTGAAACTGTTCTTCATCACCACTTTCTACCTGACTGCGGTAGATTCCAGTCACATGGAGACAAGCTTGTATTCTCCTGCTCTGGCGGGTAGGACTGGAACCCATGGCTTCAAGTGACAGGAAAAGAGATTCCGACTAAACACCAGGAATAACTTTCTGACAGTAAGAGCTGTTCGACAGTGGAACGGTCTCCCTCCGGAGGTTGTGGACTCTCCTTCCTTGGCCGTTTTTAAGCAGAGTTTGGATGGCCATCTGTCATGGATGTTTCCTGCATTGCAGAGGGTTGGACTAGATGGCCCTTGGGGTCCCTTCCAACTCTCCCGTTCTAGGATTCTAGGTTATTCCTTCCTCTGCTTATATACCATACATTTAAAGCACACTCCCCGCAGCAAATAAGCCTAGAACTGTAGTTTACCCCTCACAGAGCTACAGTTCCTAGGGAGTCCACGCAGGCGTAGATAAGGGCAGCGAGTCTATGGCTTAAGCCTTAAGACATGGGTAGCCAACTCAGCGCCCTGCTCATGTCCTTGGACTTCAGCTCCCATCAGCCCCTGCCAACGTGGCCATTGGTCAGAGATTATGGGAGTTGTAGTCCAGAAATATCTGGAAAGCCTCATACTGGCTATTCCGGGCTTAGGACAATTTCTCACCAGAAGGTAGCAAGAGCCCTGTGAAAGTGCCCTGGGACTTGGAAGCAAACTCCGGGCAATACAAAAGGCCAAGGGTCTGTTCACACGTGCGTGTACACTTGAAGCTGTCATGGACCTTCTCTGAAAGGTATCGTGCATATGAGGTGAGATGAAGACCCTGCCACTGTTGATTTAAACACAAACCGATTTCTTGGGAGCGGATCCCCTACTGCTTTTAGTGGATCTAACTTACGAACCAGTATGCTCCAGGTGTAATCTTTTTACCCACATTAATAACGTATAATCTTCCTTATACAAAGGCATGCTACTACTTTGCCAAAAAAAAGGACACCCCCCCAAAAAAAAACCCCACCTAGCCATTCTGCTGTTTGCGGGCCTCAACAAGCGTAATTATTAAAAGGAGAGGTTGTATTCGGCTGAGAGGGGATGAGGGGATAGCCTCGAAGCCACTGTCACTGTTGCTATTACTCTTGTTTCTGTTTTCCTGCCCCACCCGCCACTAAAGGACCACAGATCCTTTTGCCTTAGGATGTGCGAGATCATGGGCATCACTTTAAGAACTCTGCTGCATCTAAAATAGCCGTTTCCTCTGCCTCTACATTATCCACGGCAGAAGCGTTGCGTTTCCATTTAAGGCTAAAAAGTAGCCATCTCTTCTCCAGTGGGTTTCTGACCTTCCTCGCGTTGATTTCTCCTTTCCCCTTTCTTTTTGGGAGGGAGGGAAGGGGTGTGTGCTAAATCTTCTTTGCATCCTGACATCTGGAAGCAGACAACCTTATGCCAAACGCGTGCGTATATGTATATGTATATGTATATGTATATGTATATGTATATGTACACACACACACACACACACACACGGAACAAGAACCGAAGAGGCCAACGGGAAGAGTTCAAGATGCGCCATCCCATAAAGATCAGCTCTGAGACGGAAGTTCAAGGTCAAGTTGAAAGTCAAGGGTCTGTTGACTTCTGTTGCATGGCCCGTCCTGTCTGCAGCCGCCAATTCAGCCGATCACTTCAGGGTTCACTCTATGCCTCTCCAAGCCAGCAGGAACCAACGCCTCACTACCAAGACATCCATTTAGGCAGCCTGGCCGTCTAAGCCCTTATTTATTTGGAAAAGGGCTGTGGATTTCAGGGAGGGCAAAGTTGTGTTATGAAAAAAATAACTAGGCTAAAGGGGGGCAAAACTGAGTAAATAAAATAGGCGTAAACGCACAGACGTTGATTTCAGAAAACCAAGCCTTGCCCTTTATTCTAATGTATAGAAAATAAAAACACACATCCAGCCTCTGTGGAGTTTTGCCCGCAGATTCTCTGCTCCTACGGGCCCTTCACTGATGACGATGGTGCTAACTGTTGTTACTATTTTCCCGCCAGTTTATCAGGAAAACAATAGAAGGAGAACCTCATCCAAGGCAAACTTTAAGAAAAGAACTCTTAACACAGTTGGAGCAGGGACTGTAAATGTTTACACGAGGTCTCTGCTTGTTGAGAAATCAAACATTTATCGTCCAGCTTTGCTCTTGAGGCTGCAAGCGTATATTTCCAATTAAGTAGTCTCTCTGCTCGAAAGGCCTCCGGGCTTCGGTTCCAAAAGGTCCGTTTCCGAAAGGTCCAGAACAGGTGCATGCCCAAAGTTGTCTTTCCGACTTTGAAATACTTCCCATTCAATCAGAAAAAAATGCATTTTTCTCTAGCTTCTTCTACATGAACAATTGAAAAAGTTGTGGATTCAACCCCCTATAATTCTGCAAAGCGTCTCAGGCTGCAATCCTAAATATGCATACGTGGGAATGGGAGACACTCAAATAAAGTGTCCTAAACTGCTGCGTGGTTACAGGGTGCCAGGGTATTTTTTACGGTGCTATTCAGTTTCCCAAAGAAAACTTCCACAGACACATTGCCTGCCTCGGAAATGTCCTGCTCCTCTAGCCTAGACAGAAGCAAGAAGCCTATCCGCATATTGCTCACAAACCAAGAGCAGATCCGCCTCAAATGCCAACATTATTACTGAAATAAGCGCAAGACATTCAGAAAGCGAAACGCAGGTATCCCTTTTAACCGCGTGTCGCCTGGTAGCGCATAGCCAAAACAAAAAACAGACATCCTTCTATCTCTGGAGACATTAAGCCCCACTGTCTTCTGTAGGACTTACTCCCCGGTAAACGTGTCCATAGGTTCGGGTACAAGTTAAACCAACGAGGAAGCTGAGATACTGCAGTCGAGTAAAAAATAAAATAAAACAAAAACCCTGTAGATGTTATCACAAAATGGCCAAATAAATATTAAAGAAAGTGGGGCTGGTTTTGCTGACAGCATAATAAGTTCGGCCAATAGCTCGGCTGATGCCCTGCTCTTATATTTGTCTTTTTAACTATAAAGTTATATTCGCTGTCTAACTATGTCTGGCGTTCGTGCCTCGAGGTGGGGGGAAGAAGTTTGGCGAAGTTCTCGGTATACCTGAATAAAACTTCTTTTCTCAACTGTTTTTTTATTTTTATTTTTGTTTTTGTTTAAGTCTAAGGTTGCCTTAGGCGTTTTCTTTTGCCTTTTACAGATTACCTTTCCTGTTACCTGGAGAAATTCCTGAAGATCTTTGTTTATCTTTTACGGACTGGTTACATTGCTTTTTTGCTGGGGGGACGCAGAGGCACTCAGACGCCCAAACATTTTGTGGATCTGAGTTTGGCATCATTGAGGGGCAATATTTCAATATGAGTAGGAAAATAAGAGTACCCCTAAACTTTTTTTTTTTAAAGAAAAAAAAAGCACTGACTGGGTATAATGTAAAAACTCGGTATTCAGCGTCCTGTAGTTTTTTCAATTCATTCTCAGCCACCGCACTTCAAGGAACCTGTCATACTACCTAGCAAGAAAGTTCTTAGTTCGAATCCCAGTTACGCCGAAGTAATACTAGGCTTTCGAAACCGATCCGCAAGCTAAACCACTTCTGACGAATTTACACATTTTAGCGACACCTTAATTAATAAGCTAAGACTTCCTCCTAATTGCACCGCTCTTTGGACGGTAGATTAATGGCGACGAAGCGTGCATTTCACAGTTGTTGTCAGGCTGTCTGGTTATTAATTTAATTAACTTGATCCAGATTTTATTGTGTGTAGGGCGGGCGGGAGGAGAAATAATTCTCCCCCTTAGCGTCGTCCTTCCACCTAAAACAGTAAATGAAGACGGCAGTCTGATCATTAGTTTAATTAATTTCCTGCTACAGCTATTACAATGCGTTTCCCCCCAAGCGGAGGACTATTAACGTTATTTTCAATAAAGTCTGCATTATTTCAACCCCACAGTCCGGTGCTATGAGCATGTGCTCCTAAATCCCAAGTACCTATGCTGCGCTCCGTAATGCAGCCGCGCAGCGCAATCCTAAGGACTCGCCACTCAACGCAAGGCCCCTGAGGTTTATGAGTATAGGATTGGTGTGTGTTACAGGACGAATTATCTACTGAAACGTCATTTTGAAACGCACTATTTCCCCCCTCGAAATTCTGAAATAAAACCAGCAATGGGGGGGGGCGGCAAACTTCCCTGTATGCGGGGGTGAGGGTGGATGGGATTGAGGGGGGCGTGTTGGAGGGGTCGGTGAAAAGGAAGAACCTCAGCCGACTAAACTGCTGCAAACAATGATTAAACGCTCACTTTCCCCCCTAAAAGGAGATATTAAGGACCGATTTGGGCAGCTGATTTCTATTTCTTGGCGTGCTGCTGCTGTTCATGGAAGAGAATCCTTTTGGAAAACATAATCTCGGCTCCGCAGTTTCTGCTACCCCCCGAAATGCACCCCTGTTCAACAGCTATTTCGCGAATCAGTTTTTCCTACACGAAGAGACTGCAAGATTCCGGACAGCAAAACTGCTCTTCCTGAAACTTAATCAGGGCAGATAACCAACAGCATGTGGGGGTTGCGCTTCTCGCTTTGCAGCGTCTCGATACTGTGTCTTGTTTCCTTCTTAAATGTAAGAGACCTGGGAGCATTCGCACCACGAAAATAGCAGAACAATCCTACACAGATCGGCTCAGAGAGTAAATCCCATTGTTGTCAACGGGGCTTACTTCCCAGTAGGCATGTACAGGATCGTTACACTTCCCCCAAACCACTGCACGCCCCGTTGACTATTTTTGTGAACAGGAGATCAACTACCACCCCAAACGCTCAGCTGCGATCTCAAAGTTGGGCCGTCCCTTTTAATTTTAATTAGAAAAGGGCACGTGGTGGTCGACTATCTCTTGCTGAAACCCGTGGGATTTAAAAGTGCTTCGCTTTGGCCGGATTGGATCATTTAATTGAATGCTGGTCCTTGCTGAGCCCAATGTCTCTTTCCAAGGACGAAAAAGGCACATGGCAGTCTTATTTTACCAATACTGACTGGACAGTAGTCTCCATTGAATGCAATGGGACTTCTTTTCGAGGAAGTGTAATCACAAGATTACTGAGTTGGCTGCTATCCAAGACACATTTGCCTGGGAGTAAGTCCCATTTGAGCCCGTGGGGCTTACTCCTGAGTAGACACGCATGGGATTGCTTTCCAATTACTACAAAGGGCAATCAATATTCCTCCCCGGCAGCACTTCCAGGATCCAAGAGAGGTTCACCTATTTATGGATGCAAACTTAAGCATAATTTCCTGGAAGAAGGTCCCAGCTGTTCCTTATAAATCAGCGGGACTGACTTCCAACTAAACGCATTTAGGATTGCAGGAGAGTAGTAAAATTATTTTGACGGGTCAGACTCTAAATTCACCCCCGAAATAAACGGAACTGTTGACTCTACAGCTTGGGATTCGAATATACATGAATGCCTAGCATTTCTACTTTTTAGCGTGGAAACCGTAAGGACTCCAAAAGCGCTTCAGGCATTATTTGCCGCCATGTAACAGATAATAACGAGCAATTACAATACTCCAACCCAGGGGGTACTTGAAAAGGGAATGAATAAACTCGTCCACTCGGAATTTCACTGAGTTAAAAGGAAGTTTCTCCCGGGTAAAATGGGGTTGAAGCCTTAATGTTTCTTCCTTGCACTTCGTTCTTTTATTGTTGTTATTATTATTTCGATTCTTGAAAGGTTGTCCGAATTATATTCCAAAATATAATTCGCCTGCAGTTCAGGCAGCATCTGAAAGCATCAAGCATTAAGGAATAATAATAATAATAATAATAATAATAATAATAATTCCTTATATAATTAAGAAGACATGACTATTTATTTTGGCCGGTTGTTTCAAGCAGAGCAGTGTTTCCAGCGTGTTTATACCCAGCCCACGGCTTCCTCACATCGCCTGGGGATTTTGACACTGGAAGTCTCATTTCTGAACAGATTCAGAATCTGCAACACTATTTATTTCTTGGGTGTGTGGCTGGATGAGAGAGGAAACAGTCAGGCACGCTTGTATTTCAACAGACATGTGGATGCATCCACTGTCTCGTCATTGGAAAGCTATTGTTGCTGACATCCGGTTAGCCCCCTGCCTTCTTGCAATAAAACGAACGAATTTAGTTATCTAACGCTTTGGAGAAAAGGCCTTTTGCACAGCTCCCTGTACAAACCTTTAACAGAAAATTACCCTAAGAGAAACGCAAACCTGGAGATTAGCAATCTGCACGGGGATCTTTGCGTGCTTTGAAGTAAAGAGTAAACACATTAAGGGCTGCAATCCCATACGCGTTTATTGGAAACTAAGCCCCACCGAACGCAATGGGACTTGTTTCTGAGTGGACTGGCATAAGATTGTGATGTGAGGCTGCAATCCAAGCACACTTACATGGGAGTAAATCATCATCATCATTGATTGATTGATTGATTGATTGAATTTATATTCCGCCCTATACCCGA